AAGATGTTGCTATGTCTTTGGCAAGCATCACATTCTTGAGCATGTAGAAAAAAATATATATTCATGGCTGGCTAGTATTATCCTGTTCTGAATACCTTGGAGCATAAGGATTTTCCCCCAGTGTGATTGCCATAGTCTCTTCATGTATGTCCTTCAAGACTTTTGCAGCTTCAGGATCTTCCAAGCATCTGAGGTATGAACCTGCCATTGACTTTATATAAAGTTGACCTTGGATTATTACAAATCTTGAGACTCTTATTTTGAACGCTCTTTCGTTTTTTTTATTTTTATTTTGTTGAGATCATTCCATTTTGGAGATACTGTGTAATGGGTTGGATCCATGATCGTGGACTTCTTCGAGGATCCTGTTCGTCGGATCCCTTTGAGGAGGGATACGAGGGTCAAAATCTATGATGGTTGCTACACTTATTAGTTGTTCAGGATCATTGAGTTTGTCGGAAAGGGCTTCTATAGCTGGAGTTATTATGTGGGTTATAGGTAGCTTCATTTATGGTGGGATCCTTAGGGAGTATCTTAAGTTGGCTAATGTGTCTGCTTTTGTGTTTTCTTCTTTAGGAACTTGGGTTAGGCTAAAGTTTTCAAAACCAGAGGCTAATTTTTTGAAGCTATTGAGGTATAATTTTAATCTTTCACCGTTCATTGCATAAGATCCATTGAAGTAATTAGTTAATAATAAAGAATCAACAAATACCCGAAGATCCTTGATTTGAAGATCCTTATCCAATTGTAGTCCCATGATGAGTGCTTCATATTCTGCTTCGTCGTTGGTTGCGTTTAGTTCGCAACTAACTTCCCGGGGTAGGATGTCCCCCCGTGGTGATTTTAGTATGATCCCTAACCCATATCCTTTTTGATTTGCAGATCCATCCGTGAATAGTGTCCATTTTCCCAAATGTTCGTCTTCTAGGAGTTGCTTAACTTCAGTGTTTACTTCTTTTTGTAGATGATCACTAAAGCCAACCACAAAGTCTACTAATGTTTGTGACTTGATGGCGGATCTTGGCTCATATTTGATGTCAAACGTGCTTAACTTCACTAATCATTTTGCCATCCTCACTGTCATCTTTGGTTTTGTCATCACATTCTTAATAGGCTAATTAGTTTTCACATGTATAGTGTGTCTGTACATGTCTTTTTTCTGGTTTAGACCGAGATTGGTCCTTCTGTACATGTCTACTATAGATCTTATCTCTCCATCTTCTAGGTTGCAAGACCTATCGATGGACGACGAGTTTCCCTTCTTCGTTGAGCTCTAGTGTTCCATCTCTGATGATTCAAGACCCACCAAAGAGTTCTCTGACTCCAACGAATTTGAGTCACCAACCACTGACGAGTTCAACTAAGTGAAATTCCTTTATCTTCTTCCCCTACGACCTAAAAATTCTATTTTGACTTGTGTTATTGTTGGCATTGTGACACTTATGAGGTTTCATACATCTATTTCTACTGTATTAAATTTAAACTTATATTAATTACAAAATACTAATGAATCATGAATTAATAGGTGTATAAAATAAAAATATATTATTAAACTTCTATTAATAAACATATATTATTATAAAAAATGACAAGAGAAATAATATACCTACTCTCCTTTGCATGTGAATAAGCTGTAATGATTTTGTTTTTTAACATGCCCACCATTTTTATTTGGAAAACATAAAAGCAATTAGTCTCAAGTCAAAATAGGTCAAACATCTAGATTAAGGTGTATAACAAACGTAGACAAATGGTTGACTGAAAAGACACCTCATTTTAGCATATATAAACTGTAATTAATTTTTGAAATATTTTTATTGGTTGAAATTGCAATGTTTTCCGAAAAAAAAAATGATTATAAATAGTTAATTATATTTTGGTTTTTTATTAAGGTGTCAATGAGGTGTCTTGTTAGTAGCACACAAAATGCCCTTTGATTATTGTTAACAAATTAATTAATGTTTTGAAAATATTTTGATGGTTTTATAGATGAATTAAATGGTACATAGTTTTCAAAGATTATGTACTGGATGGAAATCTGATGAAATGCAGAATATGTATTTTCAATGTCTTAAAATGTTAAAAACAACATTTTACATCTATTAACCAAAATATAAAACAGTTGTAATAAATAAATAATCTAAAAAGTTGTTACCAATAGTTACACCAAAAAAATAATTATGAAGGGAGGTATATTAAGGGAACAAGGGTATTAATAATAATACCTTAATATTAAAATAACAGTACAGACTATTGATAAAATAATGAAAAAAAAAGTTTCGCACTTATTTTAGGAGATCATTGACAAATTTAGTAATTTAGTGGCTTGTAATACATAAAAATAAAAATATCATTAACGACATTTTTGTAGTGCTACAATTATATTATCTATTTTTATTATGGAACTAACAAATTTTTGACCAGTAATTTTTTTTGAGTACTTGTCAACTAATTTAATAATGCTATGATTTTATCGGTTAATTTATCTACTAATAATTGAGTTTTAACTATTCTATCAAACTTAGAGGTAAGTGTTTGGCTAAACTTATTTAAAAATATTTTAACTTTTTTATTTATAGTTTATTAACTTTTAGTGGTGGCAAAATTGAGTTTTTTAAAAAAATATTTTGATTAATTTATCCGGTATCAAAACATAATAAGTTGATAAGTCATTTTTACTGATCGACAAAATGATAAAAAAAAAGTTTCCTAGAGATGTTGAAGAACTATAAGTTATAAGGAGTTTTGATAAGTTAAATGTTAGCAACTTATAAAAAATGACTTATCTTCCATTCCACACTGCTATAAGTTGTTTTAAAAAAAAGCAGTCTATTAGAAATTTGGAAGTAAAAGCACTTGAAAATTATAAGATTTGTGTAATCACTTTCGAATCGAATTATTTTGATGGTATTTTGAAATCCTCAATTGGATAAGATTTACAAGTTTGAGAGAATAAGAACAGAGAATTAGATATATGAATTTTTGTTAGTACTTAAATTATGACCAAAATTTGGTTAAGTACTCCTGTTATCAAAAAAATATCACAATACAACTTTATGTTTAAAAAATGTCCTAAAACAGTTTTAACAATCAATAAAATTGTCATAAATTCGGATTTAAGAGGGAGGGTTATAAATTTAGGTAAAACAATTTTAGCAACAAACAAAACCGTCGTAAAACAATTTTATGTTTGACTTATCTTCAGCTTGACCCCAACTAGGTAGGGGCTTTACCGCTTGGACCCCACTAGGGGTTGCCGTCCCTTGGACCCTGCTCCCAGGGGGGACTGTCCCAGACCCCGTTCGTTCAGGGGATTTATCCTTAAATACCAGTCTACTTTGAATTTTGAATAAATTTAAACAAGTATGCACTCCTCACATTCGTTAATTGTTTACTATTTATCAAGATTGATTTTGGTCTACAAACCAATCCATTACACTTCATTACAATTAGTGACAAAATTCACGAACACAGTCTATCCAAACACTTATTTTAACTTATGCTGGTATGGAATGATAACAAGTTAAAAGACTTGTTTTTAAAGGTTAACCAAACACCATCTTAATCTCAAACAAAGGGACTTGCGATTGTAATTACATTTCCGTATTGTTCACGTTTAGGTAACATTATTTTTTTATACACATTTGACCATTTAACTTATTAAATGTGTTCGCATATTACCATTGTCACCTGTTATAGCATGTAACATTAACAATGGTAATATGTGAACATATTTAACAAGTTAAATGGTAAAATGTTTACAAAAAAGTTGTTTAAATATGAACAATCTTTTTTACAATTTTCTTAAATTTTTTTTTATAATTTCTTACAACATTTTTATGATTTTTTTTCCTACATATTTTTCTAATACAATGTTTTAAATATATATATATATATATATATATATATATATATATATATATATATATATATATATATATATATATATATATCTTTTTATTATTTTATATAATTTTAATACAAATGTTTTTAAAGCAAATATTTTACAAATGTTTTAATTTTTTCTTACACATAGATAACTTTTTTTTAATACATTTTCATACAATTTTTTTTATAATTTTCATACATTTATTTCTAAACTTTCTTTTACAACATTTTAAAAATGTTTCATATATTTTATATGATAGTTTAATATATTTTTATAACTTTTTAAAATACTTTCGTTAAATACTAGTTTAAAATATTGTATTAAAAATATTAAAAGTTTATAAACTTCTAATTTAAAAGTATTAAAAAATTGAAATAATTTTTAAACATTTACAATATATATATATATATATATATATATATATATATATATATATATAGATTTTTTTATTTGCTAAGTAATCTTTTCTTTTTATTTTTTAAAATGCCCTCTATACTTATTGTTACATATTTAATTTATTTAATTTTATTGTTAGATATTACTACTTTAAAAATATTACATATACTTAAAAACAAAAGAAAAAAAATTATAAAAGGGTATATAAAATATTTCACAAAACAAAAACATATTTATTAATTAAAAAATAAAGTTTAAAATTAATCAATATTTAATTAATATTCAGGAAATTATGAATATTTTAAATATAACCTTTGAAAAAAAATACAAACAAATATGAAATTAAAATTACTATTAAAAGTGGGGAAATATTATGGTAAGTAATTTTCGTTTTGTTCATATTTAAACATTTTTTTCCGTACATATTTAACTTGTTAATTTGTTTATATATTACTATTGTTAGTGCTATAACCGATGACAATAACAATATATCAACAAATATAACAAGTGATATATATATATATATATATATATATATATATATATATATATATATATATATATATATATATATGAACAATAAGATTAAGATGATAACCTCGTAAGTTATTTTCCAAATTATTTATTTAAGTAACGACTAAAACGTAAATTATCAAACTCGAGGGTTAATTACTCCTTATAACCGTGATGTTCAAACTTCAAATTCTTGCGGTCCAAGTCGAACGTCTCAAGCCTCAACATCATCCGACGGCCCATAGTTCCCCAACTCCGATCCTACATCTATAAATAAATAAAAAACCTTCCTGAAAAATCCATAAACCCTCGTTTTAGGGTTCTGAAACACGCAGAAATAAGCTCAACGAATCAAAGGTATGTGTTTTATTTGGTTATTGCATTTGTCTACATGCTCATTGTTACTCTTGATTCGTTTGTTTTTTTCATCATATTTTTTTTACTGTAACTATCTACGAGTTCGATAATTTGAAAATGAAAATAGACGTGGTTTTAAAGAATACAAAAATCAACACGTGGATGGATTGGATATTTTGGCTAGCGAGGAGGGTTGGGTTTCTTTCTGATTTTGATTTTGAAAATCAATCCAAGAACTTTGCCTATTTAAGAACTTTTACCGTTTATTTTGCAAATTTGTTATTGATCTTGGAGTTCAGTCTTATTTATAACATTCCTAAGAGTTAGTATGATTTATGAAGATAATGTCGATCGTATTTCGTGTCAACATTGAAAATCACTCACAAAAGATAGTGAATTTGACCAACGTAATGCAAAACTTCATCATTTTGTCATATGTTATACAGTGAAACTTCTTTAACCCTCTGTTTTGGTGGATTTAGGTTTTAACATACAACCATGGCTTTCTTCAACAAAATGGGCAACATGGTAAGGCAGACTGTAACTAAGCAGGTCAATCATGAACTATCGTCAGCCAATCCATCAATTTTTCAAGTGATACGATGCATGTCATCATCATCATCATCATCAAAACTATTTGTGGGAGGTAATTTCAAATTCCCAACTGAAATATCAAATTTATAATTTTGTGAAGTGGATCTTGATATATTTATCAACTTTATTTTTTACAGGCCTGTCTTATGCGACAGATGAAATGAGCTTGAGAGAAGCTTTTAGTGCATATGGAAATGTCCAGGAAGGTATTATTCATGTTAATTTCCAGTAATCTAATACATTGATTTGTGTTTATATGGAATTTTGGTAGTAGAAATTACTGCAATAAGTGATTATGTTTTGTTCTTGTTTTCAGCTAGAGTTATTGTGGATCGTGAAACTGGTCGATCTAGGGGTTTTGGCTTTATTACTTTCACCGATTTTGAGGCTGCTTCTGCTGCAATTCAAGCATTGGATCAACGGGTATTTTTTCATCTTTTTTTTCTTTGAGGTTTGTTTATTAAGTCGTTGTTTTTATATCTAGTCAAAAGAGAATACTGATAGCTAGCTGATTATTCCAGGAGTTGCATGGGCGAGTGGTTAGAGTGAATTATGCAAATGATAGGCCACAAGTGGGTGGTGGTGGTTACCGAGGTGGAGGCTTTGGTGGTAGTTATGGTGGAGGTGGGGCCTATGGTGGTGATGGTCAGAACACTGGTGTTGGTGGCTTTAACAGTGGTGGTTATGGTGGAAATAGTTATGGTAGTGGTAGTTATGGCGGTAATGCTGGTGGCTATTATGATGGAGACAGCAATGTCAGCAGTGGTGATGGTGGCAGGTGAGATGCATCTGTGGCTTCAACTGTGTTTTCTACCGGGCTGATATTAATTACTTGTTGGTCATATGGTCTAAAATAAATAGGTAATTCTTTTTTTCTTTAAATCTTAGGTCAAGAGGTTAGGTTATAACAGTTTTGATTGTTTCTGATAAATATTCTTTTAGATTTGAGCTCATGTTATTTATGGTCAATACAACATTCTTCGAATCTTGGGCATTTGCAACTACTTATTTATTGTAGTTAGTTTCTGGAGATAATACGAATGGGCAAATAATATACAGTTTTTCCAATTAGCAGAGTTTAATAAGGATCGGTAAAGCTAGGTCAAAGTGTAGTTAAAACCGATTCAAAAGCTTTGAATGATGTGATAATGTGGAATTACAATCTAATCAAAAGGGATCACTAATATGTAACGGGATAAATATACCCATCACCCAAAAAAACTAACAAATTACAACAAAATAGACTAACCTCTGAAAAGTGAGATAAATATATCTATTATTCTCCATGGAATGCCAAAAAAAACTACTTTGAATTATGTTTAGCATAAACATCTCGAGTTTGGATTAAGTTGTTAAGTCTTTCGATGAAAAATTCAAGAAAGGTATTCTCAAAATCTAAGAACACGTAAGTCACAGTTTGATTTTTTCTTATTAAAAAAGAGTAAATTATAAAAAATGGTTGATTTGGTTTTTTGCTTATTTATTTTTAAAGCCAAGTTCATTTTTTTCAAATGTATCACTATAACCGATGTTTAATTTTGTTTTGAGTTTGATCATCGTTATATCAAAATGATTATTTTACTCATAATTATTTGTTAGGTCATTTATTCATTCTACAGTTGTACATAAGCTTGAAGATGGTTTATTTCCTATAAGATTTAACGAAGAAGCAAAAAAGAGTTTTATTAAACCGGTTAACAGTTGAATTACACAAATTAGATAGTGATATTTTTGTTGGCCACAACATATCTGGATTTGAACTCAATGTGCTTCTCAATAGAGTCTAAGGTTTTTTCATTATTAACAAACGGCTTAATAAATTTAATGTGAACATTGGTATTACCGTTGACATTTAAGATGAAATCTATACTACAAGGACAATCAAAACTAAGAGAATGACCAATCTATTTTTTCTTTTAACAACATAACCAATATGATTTCAAACAAAAATTGAGTGCTTACCGTCAGAGGCTAGAAGAATGGTTGACAATCGCTCGTGGAAGAAGGTTGGTCGTCGATGACTGGCGGAAGGGGGGTAGACGGTGTAGATGGACGACGACAAACGAAATCGAGTTGTATTCTCTAGTCGTCGTTCCATTTGTGGTCTTGTGTCTTAGACTATTGTCGTAGTTTGATTGCTAGAGACTATAGAAGAGGTGTGATTTGTGATGTTATTGAACTGTGAATTTGTGACTATGAAGACGAAGTCAAAGAATGAAGGGAGGAAATTAGGAGTTGGCGGCCATTTGGGATTACGGTAAGTGGAGTGAAGTTGCAAAACCCTAGAAGTTATATATACACACACACACACACGCACACACACGGGGCCCCACGAGATTACGGTACGGAAATAGCCACTCCCAACCCCGATCCCGAAAATGAAATGGGAGTTAAGCTCGCCTCGCCCCCGCTTCAGCCCCCGATTTTTCTTAAAAAATTATTCCGTACGGAACTGGGGTACCACAGGCGGTTTTGACATCCCTAGTTAGACCTTACGGAACACCAAGCCATAAGCTCGTAGGGGTTTATATGACAACAAACAACAAAGATGAACACTATCCAAGCCCTCGGTAGTTCTTCGTTGTCTTGGAGAATTGTGGTGGGGAGGTCGGTAAACCACTAAACCATGACCAATGGGAGGGAAAGGGACCACTGAATGGTCAAAAGTTTGATTTTTTTTTGTTTCTAAATAAAATTTAGACAAAACTGCAAAAAATGGTTTCTGCAATATGCATTCTTTTAGAGGTTTAATCAAAACCTCGATTTTTCTGGCTTTATGGTCATTTTGGCTTAGTTTCTACGTGGAAATAGTCCCTCTCAAAATTAAAAGACTATTATACTTTTTTTTTCATTTTTAATATCTATTTTAATAATTAAAACAATAGAAGGTCTCCCTTTCTCTCTCTCTCTCTCTCTCTCTCTCTCTCTATATATATATATATATATATATATATATATATATATATATATATATATATATATATATATATATATATATATATAAACGTCCCAAAAATACGGTCCAAAATTTTCGTTTTAATTCATTATTAAAACCATAAATATCATCATCAAGTAAACATCATAAATCATGTATCTAAAAAACATCATAATAACTATCAGAGTATCAAAACATCATATCAAATATCAGAGTGAAATATCCCAGGGTAGAAAATTGTGGTGTGTGTCATGCAATCATCCCGAGTCCTTAATTTTGCTAGCAGAAGTACCTGAAACCAAAACTAAAAACTATAAGCACGAAGCTTAGTGAACTCCCCCAAATACCACATACCATACACATAACATATAACATAAACTTCGGGGCTCCGTCTATCTGCATCGGGGCGAACCCGACATCGGCTTACCCGGTATCGGACTCCTGCCCGACATCGGGCTCACCCCGGCATTAGACCACGTCCGGCATCGGGCTTGCCCTGACATACACAATGCATATCATATATCATAAGCACATAACATAAACATGTAACATACATCGGGCTTGCCCCGACATCGAACCGAAGCCCGAAACACATAACACATAACATATAAGCTAACATACATCGGGCTTGCCCCGACATCAGACCTAGGCCCCGAACACATAACACATACTATGCATGAATCACAAAGACATCAAGCATACATAAATACTTATCGGGATCGCCCTCGCATCGGACCGATGTCCGGAAACACATAATCTGCATCGGGCTGACCCCAACATCGGATCGAAGTCTGGTATACACTAACATACATAAACGGGACGTCATTGGTGTCTTCGACCCGTACCTACTAAAGGAAAACTCACCTCTCAAACTGGATGCTGAACTTGTGCGTGAGGAATCTCTACTGGCTGCTCCCATGACTCCCCAACTAACTCTATACAATAATACTTAGTCAAAAAATTGAGCATCCATCTAAGGGTGAAATGACTAATTTACCCCTTGATCTGACTTGGACCATGACCTAGACCTAATCCCTTATAGTCTTTCCAAACTCATTAATGGCCTACTAAAGGCCCTCTAATGGCCCAATTTTCTAAATTAGGTCCAACTCCTCAAATGGGCTTTCCCCCCAAGCCCAAATGTATCCTTGGTCCATTAACTGAATCCTGGTAGCCCATTTCGGCCCAAGATCTGCTAAGCCCAAAGATTGGCCCATAACGAGGCATGTACACTAAGCGTACTCCTCTGTACGCTACACGTACAACTTGCATCGCTTGTACGCTGCGTGTACTGTCGTGTACGCCCAACGTACTACTTTGTTAAGCCATATTCTTCAAAACCTCTTAACCCCTTGAGACACTAAGTCCAAACTACATATTTGAGTCTAAAAATTCGTCTTAACCCATAAAGTCGATCACTTGGTGGCTTGCAACCCACCAAGTGAGATCAAACATGGAAAAATAGAAACTAACATCATGGAAATGGCTAGATCTCATGCATGGTTACAAATGGGCCTTAAAGATTGAAACTTTACTGCTTATGTAACGCCCGTAGATTAGGGCTAGTCAATTTAGATACGATAGGCATCAAAAAAATGAATTTTTGATGAAAGATTATTTAGAATGATTAATCCTAACTAAGTTATAATATATGTTACAAGGTTTCTGTACATATAAAGAACGCCGAAATCCGAGTTATAACGAAGAAATTATGACTTGTCGAAGTTTCGCGACAGAACCGGCATGACGCTGAATGACGTAAAAAGTGAATTTACGTTAGAGCGATATTTAGCCTTAGTGATCTAAATGAAAGTTGTAGAGTTCGTTAAACCGTGAGTGTGCATAAAAAGAACGCCAAAATCTGACTTCGTATGAGGAAGTTATGATTTTTCGAAGTTTCGACTTAGTGGTATGCAGCTCGAATACTCGATTTGAGATCGAGCGGTTTTTAGCCGAAACAATCTAAATGAGAATCGAAGATCTCGCTGTTATTAGCGAAAAGATGAAAAGTTAGGCAAGAACGGACGTCAGCCGAAGAAGTTATGAATTTATAACAAAGTTTTTCTGTCCCGGCCTTCTAAAAATAAATAATAAAAATAAAAGTCAAAATTAGCCGACGAAGTCTAAATGAAAGTTGTAGAGTATGGTCTGACCTTCGCGTGAATATAAAGAACGTCGAAAACGGAGCTCGTATGCGAAAGTTACGCAATTTAGAAGTTCGACGAGTCAATTACGCCCCGCGTAATTTGAGTACGCCCAGCGTACTCAGATGGATGCAACTTGTCTGACCGATGCTCGAGTGCCACTAGTCGACGCACGCAGTGACGTCAAAGTACGCCCTGCGTAATTTAAGATTACACCCTGCGTAATCCCAGACCCAGCAGCCTATAAATAGAACTCGAATTCAACCATTTTTTCTTGTTCAAACTCTTCCCTCTCTCTAAGTTTTGCCTCGATTTGCGTGCCAATCATACCCCAAAGCCCCGGTAATATTCCCGAGCCCCGAAGTAAGATCCGAAGCCCCGAGGATCCCGAAGAGCGTTATTTCCGAGCCGAAGCGCTGCCCGCGAGGAGCCTGGTTTTTGTGAAGATCTTCTAGATCTACGGAGAAACACTACTTCTGCAAGCCGTAGTGTTGCCCGATCATCTTCTGATCAAGTGAGTGTGTAGTCACTTTCATCTTACACATAAATATGAAGTATTTTATAAATACGTATTATGTGTGTGTATATATATATATATATATATATATATATATATATATATATATATATATATATATTGTTGTTTATATGTGTGAGTGTATAGTCACTTTCATCTTACACATAAATATGAAGTATTTTATAAAATACGTGTTATGTGTATAAATATATATATTGTTGTTTATATGCGTGAGTGCATAGTACTTTCTTCTAATACATAAATATAAAGTATTAGCTATGAAATATGTGCTATGTGTTATATATTAATTATCTATTTGAGATGGATTTGGAATTGATGTTTTTATATGGGTGTTAAATGATTTAAATTGTGTTTGTATTTATATCTACAAAAATGTTGGGTAGAACATGGGTAGATGGAATAGTTGGTGACGATGCGACTTCGTGCCT